GAGCGTGGGGCGAGGGGTGATCCCAGCGTGCCTGTGGGGCCCCGAGGGGGACGCGCCTGGTGTGCACACCCTGACGAGGTTAAGGTGGGAAGAAGGCCCTCCGTTCCTGAAGGGAGGAGGGTAACAGCGCGATCATGAACAGGAAGCCAGGCCAGCCGCACAAACATGCCACCTCGGCTCCAAATACTTTTTTCTAAAATAACTGGACATTTCCAAGTATTTACAAAGACAACAAAACCCCCACCAGCGTGAATGCCCCAACTGCTGGCGTCCTCACCTTGGCTAGCTGCTGGCCTGGCCCTGCTCCCTTGCCCAACACTCTCTTACACCTACCCTGAGCTTTGGGGGACCCCTGGGAAAGAAGAACCAGATTTACTGTGGAACACACCCCCCCCAGGGGCCTCTCCTCCCCCCTCTCTCTGTCTCTTTCTCTCTCTGCTTGCTTCATATACTGCCCCATCTCCCCCAGCTCATGGCCCACACAGCCCCTCCGTGTCTCCTGCAGCTGTCCCCTTCTCTCCATCGCCAGCCCCTGGTCCCCTCATCCTCCCTGGCTACAACCCAGGCCCCAGATCTGTCATTTCCGCCAGAAGCACCGCACTTCACAAAGCATGGACTCCCGGAGCTGCGAGGGGCTCAAACACCTACTGGTCCAGCACCCAGTCCTTCTCTAGATCGGGACACTGAGGCCCAGAGGGAGGAACTGACTGGCTAAAAGAGACATTGCAATGCAGGGATGTTGGATAAACTTGCTTTGGGGACCCGGGGCTCTGGCAGGACTCGGGAGGTGGGGGGGGGGGGAGAGCAGGGGCTCCGGAGCCTGGCCTTCCACTGTGGCTCCCCTGCTCCGAGGCTCAGATTTCTCAACCGCGAAATGGAGAGGATTTGGCAAACGTTTAGCACGGGCCCTGGAATGCGGAGCGTGGTGGCGAGGAGCAGGCGCACTGCAGCCAGCCTGCCTGGTTTGAATCACAGCGGCACGACTTGGGCTGCTTGCTTAGCCTCTCTGTGCCTCGGTTTCCTTGTCTGTAATGGGGATAACCACAGTACCTAGGTCCTGGGGTGGTGGTGAGGGGGGAAAGCATCTATATGTGTAAAATGCTTAGGAATGCTTATGAAAGTGTTGCTGATCATCACTGAGATGTTTAATAAATGGTAGCTTAAAAAAAACACACCAAAAACAGAAAAAAAAGATGCTAACCCAGCGGTTCTCAACCTGTGGGTCGCGACCCCCAAGGGTCGAACAACCCTTTCACAGGGGTTGCCTAACTACATCCTGCATATCAGATATTTACATTACGATTCATAACAGTAGCAACATTACAGTTATGAAGTAGCAACAAAAATAATTTTATGGTTGGGTCACAACCTGAGGAACTGTATTAAAGGGTCGCGGCATGAGGAAGGTTGAGAACCACTGTGCTAACCGCAAGGAAACCGAAATCAATTCCTTCGCCCCATCTCCACCCCCACACACTTTGTAAGTCAGGCTGGAGGGCAACTTTGAGATTAGTCTGTCCTTCCCACCAACCGTGCACGTGAGTCAATGAGGCCCAGAGCGGGGACTTGCTCACCTGAGGTCTCTCAGGAGCTTGTGGCAACGCTAGAACTTGGACCCAGGCTCCAAGCTCCCATCCGGCGCTCTCCCCCCAGACCTCCGCATTCATTTGCTCCCCCTGCACACCCACCCTGGCACCCCCCCTCATCCAGACCTCCCGGCTCTTCTCGGGCAGGCACCGTCCCTCTCGTCCTGTGGCCAGAGCCCTCTCCCTCTTACCCAGTCCCCATCCTTGGCATTGGGTGAAGTGCGATGGAAATACGGAGATCAGGCAGCTGATATTTTAAAGCAGCGGTTCTCAACCTGTGGGTTGAGACCCCACCACAGGGGTCGCCTAAGACCATCAGAAAACACATATATAATTACATATTGTTTTTGTGATTCATCACTATGCTTTCATTATGTTCAATTTGTAACAATGAAATTGGGGGTCACCACCACATGAGGAGCTGTATTAAAGGGTCGCGGCATGAGGAAGGTTGAGAACCACTGTAAAAAGGAAGGATCCTCCCTGGGACTTGGGTTCTCGGTTGCATTTCTGTGTTGAGGGTGAAGAGTTAGAGGCAGGATAAACAGACCCGCAGGGGGGACAGGGGTGAAGGCAGAAGAGATGGGGAGGAGGGAGCAATTCTGAGTGGGGAGCAGAAGGCAGGGGAAGGTGAGGCAGGGCTGGTTTCTAGGGACTACAGGGCGGGGCTGGACGTAGAGAGCATCCTAGGAAAGATGCCCTCGCCTACAAGCACACACACAGCTTCCAGGGCCCCCAGTCCCAGGCGGAGAGAGGGGCTGGATTAGTCTCAGAGACAGGTGGGCCCGGGGCCTTCTTTGCGGAGAAGGGGCTCGGTTTCCCTCATCTGAGCTCCTAGAAAAACCCCAGGAGGGGAGGGAAAGGGGGTGAGGCCTCTCCTCCAACTCCAAAGGTCGACCCTGTCAGCCCGCCCAGTCCTCACCCCAGGGAACAGATGTCCCAAGGTGCAGCAGGCAAGCGCAGCCTCATTACCTGTAATCCCACCGCTACCCCCGCACTGTCTGTCTTGGGCCCAGAAAGAGACCCAGACCTGGGGTCCGCAGCCCCCCAGCTCGCCAGCCAGAGCAGCCCTAGACTAACGCAAGGCAACCAATCCCGTCGGAAATCAGAAATGGCCCTGACCGGTTTGGCTCAGTGGATAGAGTGTCGGCCTGTGGACTGAAGGGTCCCCGGTTTGATTCCAGTCAAGGGCATGTACCTGGGTTGCGGGCACATCCCCAGTAGGGCATGTGCAGGAGGCAGCTGATCGATGTTTCTAACTCTCTATCCCTCTCCCTTCCTCTCTGTAAAAAATCAATAAAATATAATTTTAAAAAAAGAAGAAGAAATGAGGGGACGTGAATGTTCCCACAGCTCCTCTGCGTGTGAGCACGCAGCCCGATTCAGACTTCTCTGCTGCTGTCAGTCCCTCCCACGTTTATTTTGAGAACAACTATAACCTTATTTTTATCTATTGTTCATTAACCCCAAGGAATTCACTTGCTGGGTTGTTCCGTGTGTCACAGTGACCGCTACAAAGTCTGGCCTCCGCGTTCCCATCCCTATGTAAATAAACATCTCCCACACGCAGGAGCATGGCGCAGGGCGGGGTCAGGCTTTGCCCGGCTCTGACCAGCTCCGCTCCCTGATGGCGCAATAGGTCCCGAGGTCAGGCCTCTGCGCCCTGGGTCCTGGCAAGAAGGCCGGTGAGGAAACAGGACTTGCGTCTTCTCGTGCCTGTGTCAGAGCTTGCTTCGGCCGGAACAGTTTATATTTGTTCTAAGTAAATAGCTGACGTGCAGTTCGGCAGATGCTGCCGATGAAATGCCCCCCAAACCTTTTCC